TGTAAATGGGATCACAAGTCCGCATCTTGTACAGCAATTAACCACTAAGAAGAATATATGCAGTGTATTATTTGTTGAAACTGTATTTCCGATTGGATTTGAAACTGTCTCATTGCTGTCTGTTTATCAATAAAACTTTGAAAGAAAAAAAAAAGAATAAGATAGGTTCTGAAGTACTTACCTATTCTCTATGTGATAATATAGTGCAAAGATGACACTGTAAAAGAAAAATATACAACACTTTTGACTTAGTCTATCTTTTTGTGAAATGGAACCCATATTTTTAAGGGAGGTCATCCATAAACTTGAAGTCCTCCATTGTCAGAAGAGTACCATATGGTCACTTTCCAATCTATAAAATTTCATCAGCTATTAGCATATTTAGAGGCCAGATATAGGCAATGTGATGTTAGAACACATTTCTTTTTATTGTACATCATTACACATTTTTCTGTCATTTCCAAACATAAAACTTCTTATCCTGGAGCATTTCTCCATATATGTCCAGTGTGCTTAAGAATAAACCACACAATATTTGTCTTAAAAATGTTGGAGGCCATACATGATTTCAGTTGGCTTAATTCATTATTCCCCTGTACATTGTTTTCATTCTTTTTCTGAATAATAGAAGTGCTATACTCTATACAAAAAAAATCACTTTTCATGACAAGCAAACTTCCTAGTAAATGTAAGTCCTCACCCACCTGATAACATTTTTCTTTATAAAATAATCAGTGATAAATTTGCCGTGTACATCTGTATAGTATATTATTTATAGAAATTGTTTTAAAGGTAGTTTAAAGTATTAACAAAAGAGCCATCTCCTCAGATATGAATTTATGTCTAAGTTATGCACAGGTGCCATATATTAGGGAACAAAATTGTACACTTGCATGAGCTCGGGGCTTTCACTTGCCCTCACTGTCCAAAAAGAAGCTTAACATCGAGAAAAATCTAATCTGATTTTTTAAAAAATAGTGAGAGTGTTTTAAAATGTAAACCTTCTCAGAGCACACACATCCGAGAACATTTCTATAGGATTTGAATCAGTTTTTACTCCAAATGGAGTTTCATCACGGAATGACCATCAGACACTGAAAAGGCTTTCCAAACCTTACTTGAAATTACATCCCAAGGATTTTTTTTTCTGCTGGCTCAGTCTGCCTTAAGGGTGGGTCTGGTAGGGCAAGTGGAGGTGGTCATCGAAGTGGGGTCCCTTGTGCCTGATTGGGTTTTCCAGAGCAGGCGCTGAAACAACTGAGCTAACCCATAGTAATAGTGTTTAGACAAGATATCTTGTCTTTATCTTGTACTATGATTAACTACTATGAAGATAACAATATACAATATGTGAATTATTGCAACTGTCCTACCAATCTGTATTGAAACTGTCTCATTGCTATTTCTCAGTAAAATTAATTTAAAACAAAGAAATTTCATCCAGCAACCAAGTATGCAAATAAGGAAACCAAGTATTATCCCAAATCCCACCATTCAGCAGCAGTTCATTTCCTATACACTATTCTGTTTATCCATGTGATGCCCAAACTTTCCTGCACAATGGAATGACCTGAGGAGCTTTACAACAAACATGAATTGTAGCTAGACTCATTCTGATTAATTGGAATGGGCCTGAATTGGAACATAGTGCCTTCAAAATTTCCTCAAGTGATTCCAGAAGGAGATAGTTAAGGTCAGCATCGCTGGGAAAGCCTCTGTGTACGTTGTTGCACCTCCCCTTCATCCCTCAATTCCTAAAGTGTTGTGAGTATCCATGTAACAAAGGGCCGGGAAGCCTGGGAAGATCAGTGTGTTAGCAGACATATATTTTGAGAATGTTGAGTATTAATGCAAAGGTTAACCTATCCTCTTGAGAACAATGCCCTATGACTCCATGATAAAAATTTAGAAGTTTTTCCTACATTCCTACTTGCCCTAGTGCACATGAAATACATAATTGAAAGTTGTGAAAAGTCTTTACTTATTATATTTCATTTTTATACTTTTAAGACCATTGCCAGTCAAGCAGAAGACCCAATACTATTATGCACTACTGGATGGTTTTAGAATATTTTGCTGAGTTAACACACCTCTAATATTCAAATGACAGAAGTAAACGAAAAAAGGGATACAGATGAATGTCCATTTTGTATCTGTGTATTCAAAATGATTAGGATAGATATATAGTTACATTCTCTTAATGAATAGAGGTATTTGTTCTAATAGTGTTTGTAGATAGGACATCATGTCCGCATCTCTTACAGCAATTAACCACTAGGAAGAATGTATGTAATGTGTTAATTATTGAAACTATCCTACCCATTTGGTTTGAAACTGTCTCATTACTATTTGTTCCTCAATAAAATTATGGGAAAAAATAATCAAATATCTATAAACGTACATGGTTAGAAAATTATAAAATGTATATTTATAATCCATGAATAGACATGTACTCAGTGGTAAAATTCCCATTAAATCCAGAAAAAAAAACCACTTCAGAATGCAGAGCTTTGTACAGTTAGGAGGAAAAGAAGCAAAAAGTAGCTAAGAAAGATGATTCCTGCCCGTCCGCAGAGTAGGAATTTCTGCCTTGTTCCAGGAACCCCCGAACCCAGTCCTAACCCAGGTCTATGAGTGTGTGGGAGAGCTTCCTGCTACCCTGCACTGGCGGGACCAGTCCCAGCACAGGAGCAGTGTGGGCTGGACCCTCTCCCACCCCCTTGTGCTGCCCCTCAACACTCCTCAGAACCTCCCCAACCCCGCATGCCAAGTAGGAATTTCGGCCACATTCTGAGGAACCCACAGGCCCAGTCCTAGCCCAGGTTCAGTGAGTGTGTAGGGAGCTTCCTGCTACCCTGTGCTGGTGGGACCAGTCCCAGCAGAGGGGAAGCGTGGACTGGACCCTCTCCCACCCCCTTGGGATGTCCCCCACCACTCCACAGCACCTCCCACATCCCTTACACTGAGTAGCAATTTCTGCCACATTCCAGGAATCCGCAGACCCAGTCCTAGCCCAGGTCCGGTGAGTGTGTGGGAGAGCTTCCTCTTCCCCCTACTTCACCTTGCCCCCTCCAGGCACAGCTCAGGCCTGGAATACATGCCTGGAGTGTAACCTGCAGGTGCAATCCCTGCAGAGTGTAGAGGATAGATCCACCCAGCTAGTCCAGGAGCAGAGCATCTTGCAACAGGGGCACAACAGGTTCACCCTCAAGGGCAGCAGCGGGAAGGAGCTGAGCACAGCAGCCAGACCCAAGCCAGACCAAGCTGGATTAATCCAACCTTTGTAGAGCTGCACCTAAACTTCAGTATGTGCGAAGGTTATAACTACAGCAAAGATCTACAGCAAAGGTCAGAAGACAGAGCTACACAAAATGACAAGAAGGAACAAAATGCTGCAACCTCAGAACCCAAGTCCACCTGTAACAAGTGCAGAGGACACTAACACAGAAAAAATTGGGAATCACACAGTTGAAAGCAATGAATCAACGGCTTCTGAAATAAAGAAACAGCTGCAGAAAGATATAGCAGACCTCAGATTGGAAATAAAAAAGAAAATCCCTGAATTAATAACATCTGCACTAAAGAATTAAATGAAGAAACATATGGAAGAAACCCAGTGCCCACCCAGAACAAGCTCAGCTCAAATGCATGAAATAATAGCATTGATAGTAAATAAGGAACAGCAGAAAGATATAGAGGAAATCAGAGCACAATTCTTTTCTGAAATAAAAAATGAACACTCAGAACTCATAGCAGCTGAAGTAAAGAAGCAATTACAGAAACATAGGCAGGAAACCCAATCTGAAAAAAAAAACACTGCAGTAAAAAAGAATGTATTACTGCTTCTAAAGAAGATATTAATAAAAAAAAGAATAGAGGAGATTAGAAAAATGATGGATTCCCTGAATGAGCAATACAGGAAAGAAATAGATCGCATGAAGCAGAGTAAAAGAGATATAGAGGAAATTAAAATCTCAATCACAAGCTTGCAAAACCGTTTAAGTGAATGTGAAGACAGGGTATCAGATCTTGAAGATGCAGGTGTGGACAGTGAAAAGGTAAGAAAGGATCTTTTAAAAACAACAAGGATGCAGGAAAGAGTGATCCATCACCTGCAAGATGATGCAAAGATGAACAATGTGAGAATTATAGGCATCATTGAGAAAGAAGGAGTCAACACAAATGACATTTAAAAAATATGGGCAGAAATAATAGCAGAAAACTTCCAAAATTTGAGGAAAAAATCTGACATTCAGGTAACTGAAGCATACAGAAAGCCAAGGAAACTCAACCCAATAAAAAACACACCAAGACATACAATAGTCAAGATCCCAGAAATTCAGGACAAGAATAATCTACTGAAAGCAGCTAGAGAAAAGAAGCAGATCACATTCAAAGGAAAACCCATCAGAATTATGGCCGACTTCTCTTCACAAACTATGCAGGCAAGAAGAGCATGGAGCAGAGTACTTCAGGTCCTCTATGAAAACAAATTCCATCCAAGACTACTATACCCTGCAAAACTCTATTTAAAGTTTGATGGAGAAGTGAAATACTTCCATGACAAAGAACAACTAAAGAATTTTGCGATGACAAAGCCAACCTTACACAGGCAACTGAAAGATGTTCTAGAGAGGGCCCAAAACGATCAGAACTACCCAAATGAGATTGGAAACAACCAAATAAATAGGGCAAGCAATTAAACACAGGAGAAAATGAAGTAAACGATAACAGGTAAATAACGTGGCAACCATAAGTCAACACATCTCAATTCTAACCATCAATGTAAATGGACTCAATTCACCAATAAAGAGAAATAGACTGGCACAGTGGATTAGGAAACAAAATCCAACAATATGCTGTATACAAGAAACACATTTAACTAATAAAATATTCATAGGCTGAAAGTCAAAGGATGGAACACAATACGACACGCCCCACCACCTCCGAAAAAAGCAGGAGTAGCAATTCTATTCTCAGACAGTCTGAATTTCAAACCAACAATAATCAAGCGAAATAAAAAAGGCCTCTATATACTGGATAGGGGAAAAATTCAAGAGGAATAGGTAACACTCATAATTATGTATGCACCAAACATGTGAACACACAACTATATAAAGCAAATCTTAATGGACATGAAAAATCTAATATCCAATGCCACAATTTTAACAAGATACCTTAACACCCCCTTATCTCCAAAAGATAGGTCAACCACAC